TAAAATGATGCCTATCCGTGTCATATGATATTTCTATGTGATTTGATTTAACTTTTATTTATAATTAATGAAACGACTAACAAAAGTGCCCAAGTTTAAAATGTATTTCACCCTTAATACAAAATTATTTTCCAACATTTTCAACATTCAGTCATTAACGTTCACTCGTCACGTGACATTCATTTCGCAATATTGAGTCCGATTGTAATAGTAGCGAAGTAAACTAGTCAAAGATCGTATCATCGGTAGTACACGGCGCATAAATCAAGATACATAAGCGGATAAAGGGCTAATTCCCACGTAGCCGACACAAAATGGAGTAATTTCGTCTACTTCATCCTAATGTATACATATACATATATAAATGTGCGTATATTGTGTGCATATGTGTGTGTGTTCCTACGAGTACAGCATATCCTCCACCCTCACCTACTCTCCCGTTTTCTGTCCTCCCTCTTCCTCACCCTCACCCCCATGACATCGATCGTTCGCGAAGATACAACACCGCGTCGAGAGCATACCAACTCGTTCTCTTTCGTTTGTCCATTGAATTATTTAAATGGAGGATCGTCCGCGTCTGTGATCGACCATCCCTCCCTCCCACCCCCTTTCACGCTTTTCTTTCCCTCAATTCGATCCAACGGCAGAATATTACCTCGTCATTCTCGTTAATATAACAAACTACATCGTGGAAAATACTACTTCACATTTTATGGGAAAATAGATATTTTCTTTCTTGTAAAAAAAATATTTAAACAATTTTTTATATTGTTTTTTTGTTTGTTCTTAAGTTGTTATTATTTAATTATGTTCTCATGTGGTTTTTTATTTTAATTATCTTACGTGAATATACCAGTTGAATTTTCAATGATCACATATATAGATATATGCATATGTAGGGTAATTTTGAAAACTGGGACGTGTTAGTTGCACTTTTTATTGAAATAAAAATAGAAAAAAAAATAAAAAAATTGATACGGAAAAAAAATCAACTATTTCTTATTGTATTTTATTTTATTTTTTTTTATTTTTTCTTCAATTGTTTTTATTTAATTATTTTCATATGATTTTTAAATCGAATTATCTACGTAGATACAAGTTGAATTTTCATTGAATACACACATATATATATATATATTTTCAAAAAAAGGTAATGTCATAGAAAATTGACATTTGTTGTGCCATATAACTTTTTCCTCTATCCATTTGTTTCTATTGTTAATTAAAAAAAAGTTATTACCCGTCCCAGTTACAAGATTCACCCTGTACATTGCTGATATAAAACATCAAATATCTCGTAAACTATTGACATTTCGATGACCTTCGTTTAATACTTTTTTACGCAGAATAAAAAAAGGAATCGAATAGTGCAAAAAAGAATATAAAGTTCCAAAGTTAAAAAAAAAAAGAAAAAAAGTGCAACTGCATATAGAGCGTTCGTAAATAAAGAGCATTTCGTAAATGCATCGATGCATTTTCAAAAAAAAGTAACGTCATAGAAAGTTGACATTCATTGTGCCATATAACCTTTTTCCTCTATCCATTTTTTTTCTATTGTTAGTTAAAAAAAAGTTATTACCTGTTCCAGTTACAAGATTCACCCTGTATATATATATRTATGTAGAGTAATTTTGAGAACTGGGACGTGTTAACAAGTGCACTTTTTATTTAAATAAAAAATATTAAAAAAAAAAAACATGATAAGAAAAAATATCGTATGACATAATATTGTTTGAACTTTCAATGGTCTTATTTTATTTTTTTTTTTTATTACGGATGCACGCACCGATGCACTCGCCTCTTGCAATTGTACTTTATTCTTTTAATGCAACTCTATTTTTTTTTTTTTTTTTTATATCAATCAATTTCATTCTTTTTATCGTAGGTATAAAAATATAAATGAAATGTTATAGAAATGTTAATATTTTATGAAATATATTTTTAACGTTTTATACATTACAGGGTGTTTGAGATATTTTTACGTAAAAACATTATACGTATTTTAGGCTTAAAAATTAAAAAAAAAAACAAAAAGAAATGTTATATTAATATATGCATATAATAATGTATACATTAATTTATTTTTATGCAACATAAAGCAACACAATTTAAACAGTTTTATTGTTTATATTATAAATTTTGAATTAATCTTTCATTTATTTTTTCTTATTTTTGTGCGTTAAATACACTGACAATTTTTTGCATACAAAAAACCTTTGTGACACCCTTTTTATATATACATACACATTTTTCATATTATATAACTTTCGAATAAATCTTTAAATGATCTATTTTTATATAACATTATTTTTTTCTTCTTATTATTATCTTTAAAAGTAGAATGTGCTGACAACTTTTATCAAAAAAAAAAAAAAAAGAAAAAAATACAACCCTCTGACACCCTTTTCATATATATATACACACACATTTTTCTTCCATTGAGAATTTAAGAAGAAGAATAAGAATAAAGTAAGGTGGTACATAGAGAGAGGTTAAAGCATAAAGAAGAGAGAGAGAGAGAGAGAGAGAGAGAGAGAGAGAGTAGTGAGAAAGAGAAATATCGACTTTAAAGATCCTTGCCGATATCGAGGCAAAGTGCTTGCTTGGTGTGTTGGTGGTAGTGGTAGTTGCTGGTTTGCCGGAGGGTGGGCGACATGGAGGGATGCGTGGAACGTGTACGCACGGAAAGTCACGTCAAGGTTTGGAGGTCGATAGGACGTTCGAAATCGAAGTCGAGATGGAGAGAAGGAGCTTCGAGACTGGCGAAAGTGACGTAACGCAATGGTAGTTGTAATAAAATAGTCGTTTGAGAGAATGTGGGTTGGTGGGTGGATGGGTGGTGTTGTTAGTGGTAGTGGTAGTTTCGGATAGTCTTATAATCTAATGTAAGATTGAGAAGGAAAGTGTGAGAATATAGTACGATCAACAGTGTCAACGAAAGTGAAAGAGAGAGAGAGAGAGAGAGAGAGTAAGAAAGGGGGAAAGTGAATGAGAGAAAGAGAGAGAGAGAGAGAGATAGAGATAGAAGTAAATATTGTACAGGTGAAAGTGAAGCTAAAGGTGGTCGAGTTGGAAGAAACATTTGAGGGAGGGTGAAAGGAGGTTAATGATTAGTTCTTCCGAGGTCGGGGGCTGTTGCCGGGTGCAGGTTGCTCTGCCTCCTCTTTTCTTCCTCCTCCTCCTCCTCCTCCTCCTCCTCTTTCTCTCCCTTCAACCCCCTCCTCCCTTTTCACTTTCTCTTTCTCTCACTCTCTCATTCTGCCAGTTCGTACTCGACGCACTTCTTCTTCTTCTTCTTCTTCTTCCCCCCCTTCTGACGCTCTTTTCAACCCCCTTCGTCCTTCTCACTGATTCTACCAAGCTCCAAAAATTTAGGCCCTACCTACCACCACCACCACCACCAAACCACCACCACCACCATCACCATCACCACCATCAGCGCAACTATACTACTCCATCTCTAAGATACGGGTGTGAGGGCTTGCAAGGTTGTTCTCCCCTCCAGCAAAACTTTTGCTCAGTACCGTCACAAGTTTTTCATGTGCCATTATCACAAACACACACACACACAAATAATATCATGAATATCGATACATTATTTTATTTTTTTTTAACTTGTTGCATTTATATTTAATTTTGTTGTTTGTTAAAACGTGTCATCTTTATTTGAGTTTACGTTCTTATTTGTTTAATAGTTTAGTTTTGTTTTTATCTTATCTTAATTAGAATTGTAAAAAAGGGAATGCTGAAATAGTTGTAGAAAAAAAAAAATACCACCTTTCTGTGGTTTACGTCAGGGCAATATTTTTTCATGCTTATCGTGTTCTGTGTCGTTGTGATACTCCTAAAAACGAAAACAATTCGGTGTCTATCACCTGCCTCATTTGATTAACAAATATCAACACTAAGTTTCGTTTTTCTAATGGTTTTTTATAGAAAATATATCCTTCTCTTTGTTAACCATTAGTAATAAAAACATTCCACATTTAACGTTGACTCAAGGTGTGCATTTAATTAAATCACACAAATGTGTCTCATGATATTTCTCCAAAAAGATAACACCATTATAAAAATTATTTTATTTTTGGATTAATAAAAAAAAACTTTTGTTAATAGTCACCTGATATCGTATTTGTTTAATAATAAAATAGTCAAATCAAATAGGAAATCAAAATAATAGGATGAAAACCTACGTGGGTATAAAAATATCGATCGAGAAAAGAAGAAGAGTCTTTTTTTTTTTTTTTCGAGTGTCATAAAGGAAGAAGACAAGGACAAGTAGAAAAATAACAAAAAAGAAAAAAAAAGAAGAAGATAGGGCAGAGATAAGAAAGAGGAGGGAAAAAGTCGAGATGATGATGATGGTGCGCCGCCCCTTGCAACGTCAGCCCTGGCTTTGAAATACCAACCTACGTAAAAAGAAAGAGAGAGAGAGAGAGAGAGAGAGAGAGGATCGTTCAGAGGACTTTCTAGCGAAAGTGATGGTCGTGGTGGTGGTGGTGGTGGTTGTGCGTGGAAAGGAAAGGAACGTGCGAAGGGATGGTAAACGAAGGGAAGGTAAGGGAAGGCTAGGTAGAACGCAGGGTAAGGCAAGGAAAGTAGCAGCAGCAGCAACAGCAGCAGCAGAAGCAGCAGCAGCAGGGGGAGTAGTGGGGTAAGGAAAAGTATAGAAAGAGAAAAAGAGAAAGAGAGAGAGAGAGAGAGAGAGAGATAATGCGTGGCGGGGGTGGCTAGGTCTGGGTTCTGGACGTTGGAATCGTAGGTGGTGGTGGTGGAGGTGGCGGGAGAAGGTTGGTTGGTCGTTGGTGGAGGACGTCGTTGACGACGTCGACGACGACGTTGGAGGAGGAGTGGTGGTGGTGGTGGTGGTATAACCTTGCAACCCTCTTGCGTACGTCGAGGAAGGGGAAATGACAGGAATCCCGGGAGAAAGAGAGAGGTAGTAGTTGTGTGTTRGTAGTGGTGGTGGTGGTTGGTTGTGGTGGTGGATTGTAAGCAGTAGTCAGGGGTGCAGCCGCACAGGGCGGTAGTGACGGGCGTGACGTAGTCGGTGGAGGATGTACGCCCCTGTCAGCGAGGGTACCAGCAACCAACAACCAGTCCTGGTCAATCCATGGTGGTTTCATCCGCCAGGTAGAACGCAACACCAACAACGTTTTCACCTGTTTATTCGCGAGCGACATTATTTTTGATTTGACAAGAAAATTTAAATAAAAATAAAATAATAATATAAATATAATAAACAGAATATAAATATCAAATTGTTTCTCGCGAGAACTCTCGATCGTCGATCGATAATTATAATTAATTATATAACTTATACTACGTATTATTATTTACATAATAYATATATATATGTATATGATGTTGGTTGGTTGGTGGTGATTGATTATTATACATGGTGGATCTTACCACCGGATGATATTAACGAAATTATCCAAGAGGATCTACGATCGAGTGTATGAGGGAGGAGGAGGTGGAGGTGGAGGAGGAGGTGGTGGGATAAGGACGTGCGCGAGACTTAGACGTGTGAGTAGTTTGAAATCATTGAATAAAAGATTTATTGTTAATATTATTATTCAATTTGATGATCATTTTGTTGTTGTTTTTTTTTTTTTTTTATTAATATTTTCATTGGACTCGTTTCGATCAAATTCTAATTTGAAATTCGTTCTTATGGGATTCCTGGAAGAGACACAAAACTTTGTGCATTACATGCACGTGTCTGTCTGTACTCACGTAAGAAGCACACGCAAAATACGTGCAACCTGTTCACCTAACGGTATTATATTGATGGGATGTTAGGTTTATTTTCTATGGCTTGATAAACAACGTTTCTATTATCTTTTCATTCATTTTTTTTTTGTTCTTCTTAAATAACGAACCAAACATTTCTTTCATAGAGAAATGTGTTTCCCGTGTTTCTATTTCATTCTTTAATTCTATGGAAAATATTAACGATCTCCGATTTTAAGGGAAATTTATTACCGCGTGCTCGTTTAGGTTTCAAAGCAAAATGACGCAGTTCTTATAGGAGAGTTTGTTAAAAAGAGTAGAGGAAGACAAAAAAAAAAACAGAGAAAAAAGGATGCTCGAATTCCTCCTCATCTTCCTCTTCCTCCTCCTCCTCTTCCTTTCTACTCCTCCTCTCTTTTAGAATCATTGGAATGCGACGTAATTTCGTATATCTTCTCCCTATTTCAAAACGCACCATAAATATTATTATTATTATTATTATTATTATTATTATAAATTATTATAGAGATGACAAGAGTAGGAATAATGTCGTTTTAAAGTATCAACAGTATTAACATTAAAATTATGATTATTTTAATCGTAACAACGATCGTATTATTCGATTAATCGCAAGACTTAACTTTAATCGATCGTAGATCAAAAAGAAAATAGAAAAATAGAAAAAGTCATTGAAATAAATTAAACATAACGTAATTTTATAGATGAATATAATATAATAAATTAAATAATATAATAAATATATAATAAATTATGCATAAATATAAATGTTTAATGTAAATTAGGTTGTTTTGAACATTTTTTTTATTTTTTTTTTTGGGTGATAAGTTGAACAATGTTGCATGGGTAATATATACTTTTTTTTTTGTATTTTACGTTATTTTATTAAATAATATTTAAATAAAAAATAAATTTAACTTGATATTGTTTAATATAATAATATACATATTACTTAAAATAATATTAATTAATTATTAATAAAATAATTTATTTATAATTCTACTTTATTTTACCTTTTTCTATACTTTAAATTATTCAAAATAAAAAATATTGTATTCGTAGAATTACTAAAATAGAAGTGAAGAAACTGTTGGTATAACCTATTATTATTTATATATTATATATTTATAGAAATTAATTTTTAATAAGATGTGACAATATTTAATATCAAATTTAGCGGGAAAACTAGATCGTACCTAATATTAATTATTATTAGTATTATTATTATTATTATTATTATTTTTATATTATTATTTGTAATATCATTGATAATTGAAATATTTCTACAATGTTAGAATTTTTAATTTTACGAATTCTTTATTCTTAATTTTAATTTTTAATTTTTAATTTATTTATATTTAATTTATTAAGTATATAATTTAATTTTTAATTTATTTATATTTAATTTATTAAGTATATTATTTAATTTTTAATTTATTTATATTTATTTATATTTATTTTATTAAGTATATTATTTAATTTTTAATTTTTAATTTTTAATTTTTAATTCTTCATTTATTTATTACTTAAAATAAAACATTCTTAATTTTACAAACTTTTCTTTATAAAAATAAAAATTATTTCTTTATTTATTTATCTTAAAAATCTTTATTTCTTAATTCTACAAATTTCTAATTTTTCTACAATCATCAATGTAAGAATTATCTATTTTATTTATCTACAATTTATCTTATTTATTAAAATTATAAATTATACATTATTTATCTAACTTTGAAAAAATTTCTACATTGAAAAATATTTCAACGTACAAATCTAAAGGTTTGAGTATACACTAATGTAATAAAGGGCCCAAGGTTTTCTAGTACGTTACCGATTTGTGGCCTAAAAGAAAGATTCTTCTTCTCCTCTAACTTAGGGCCAACGTATAAAGAGTAAAAAAGAAAGAAGAACGAAAGAGTAAAGAGTAAGAGTATGAGTAAGGAAAAGAGACAGACATAGGAAAACATAAAAAGAAAGAAAGAAAGGAAGAAAGAAAGGAAGAAAGGAAGAGTGGGAGAGATGATGAGTTAGAAGAGAAAGAACACCATGAGCCTAAGCTAGTTTCTCATAGGACAGCAGTACGATTCAAATCAGTGTATGAGTTAGAAACGGGTGGTATGTGTTTCTTCTTCTTTGTTGTGTTGTTTAATCAAACCCAAACCATGAAAAATATTTCTAAAGACATTTCATTAAATATTTGAAGATTTCCGGTTTTTTTTGTTTCTTAAACATTTCTTACCATTTTTTATATATATCTCTCTCTCTCTTTCTTTCTATTTCTATTTCTATTTCTATTTCTATTTCTATCTCTTTCGCTTTCTCTTTCTTTGTCTTTGTCTTTCGTTTAATTATTTTTTGTCTCGTGAGCCATCAAAAGTTAAGGGGAGGGTATAAGAAATCAAATTCAAGGTTTTTTTTTTTTGTTAAACATTTCTTATCATATTTTTTTTTTTTATATCTTTCTCTCTCTTTCTCTCTTTCCTTCTGTTCATTTCTATTTCCATCTCTTTCTCTTTTTCCTTCTTTCTTTTACATTTTATTTTATTTCTTTTTTTTCTTTTTTTCATGAGCGTCAAAAGTAAAGGGGAGGAGATAGGAAACCAAATTCAAATGCAAAGCTATTTTCGCGCTCATTTCTTTTCTCTTTTGTTATTTGTCGTCGTCACTTTTCTATTTTTTTATTTTTTTATTCTTTCTTTTTCTTTTTTTTCTATTTCTTTCAACACAGTGATTTTTGACGACAACGACGACGACGACGACGACGACGACAACAACCAACGATGATGACATTCGCGATTCTCGACCTCCTCTTCTCAGTGGTGACATCCCCCATGAAACATTTTCGTGGCTTCGTCTCCTCGACCCTTCTTACGTATTTGTCTTTTTTTTTCTCTCTCTCTAAGGGAATAGTAAAAGAAGAGAGAAAGAAAAAAAGAAAGAAAGATATATGTATAGGACAGAGACCAAAAAAAAAAAATACAACAGATATTGTCGGACGAAAAGATAGGAATATTGTACTTGAAAAAGATCTGTGCTGTTAATAATTTCAGTAACGTTTCAAGAAAAAAGAATATATATATATATATATATATGTATGTATGTATGCATGTATGTGTGTATGTATGACAAGTGTGTAGGTGATGTTCTTAGGAAATATAGGGTGTGGAGTACTATCATTGTTATCACGCGAAATAGGTGAGTAGTGCGAATTATTTTCTCGTTCGAATTATTTTGTTCATTTTTCATTCGACTAATTTTTTCATATCATTGATGATGATAACATTTTTTTTTTTTTTGTTAATTTACGAGTACTGTAAAATCTTTCATTCATAATAGATGTTATAATTTACTTTTTTTTTTAAATGTAATTTATTTCAAATACGTCACGCACTTTAATTATTCGTAGGAAAATTATCAATCGTTCGTTGTGTATTCGTTACACAATTCTACAGTAATAATACATATATATAATATAATATATAATAATAAATAATAAATAAATTGAAAGTATATATAATATAATATTTTTCTAGTGTTAACTAAATTTCTTATTTTTTATTATAAATATATATATATATATTTTTGTTTTGATATTACTGTAAAAATTGTTTCATACTCTTTCTTATAATATTGTATAGAATATTTTTTGTTATCATCATAATAATCATTGTTCATCCTTCATCATTCCAATCATTATTGTTGCACCCTTTTGTAAAATACGACTGATATCATTGGTTACAACTCACTCTTCTTCATTCTTTGCTTTCTTTTTTGTTTTTTTTCATCGGCACGAATTTTATCTACCCTACGGCGATTATTGTTAGGATTCAAAATTTCTCTGGACCAAACCATTCCCTCTTTCTTTCTTTCTTTCTCTCTTTCTCTCTCTTTTTCTATTACTCTTGTCTTTTTAAAAAAAGGGGTTGAGAAATATTGTAGGGAATAGTAGTAGTAGTAGTAGTAGTGAGTGAGTGAGAGAGGGTTGACGATGATCGTCGATTGCGATACGTACTTTCTTTTTTTTTGTTGCAGTATCCACTCTATTTGACATCCTCCCTCCCATCCTCTCATTCCCTCCCTCTTGCTATATTTTTTTACGACCATCTTCTCATTCCTATGTGACGTTTTACAAAATTCCCCTTCCCATATCCTTTTTTCTTTGCCCTTCTTCTTCTTCTTCTTACTTTTAACTTTATTCTCATTTTAATAACTTGAAAGTAACTTCAATGATATTAAAACTGCAATTTATTACACGATATATATATATATATATATATGAAATATTAACCTTTTCGTTACTATAGACCATTATTGTGGTTTTGCATAAAATATCACGTATTTTACATACGATAAACATAATGCAGTTATGGCACATCAAA